ATTATTATTATTATTATTACTTTTTTATTTTATTTAAGTAAAAATTTTAAATTTGCTGATGTTCTGTCTTTTATTGAAGTTTTTTTTAAATAAAAACAGGGTTTTCATTTAATAAAAATATTTTAATGATCATTGATTGCTCTCTAGTGGCCATCTGTGAAACTGCAAGGAAAAAAAGACCACGCCTGGCTCAGGTTTAACTTTTTTTTTCTTATTTTTTAAATTTTAAGTTTAATGTTAATTCCATGCTGTGTATTAGAAAGAATACAGATGGTACTTGTAGCTCCGGTGAGAATATCCAGTTGTACAAATCAGACTCACGTTACACAAACTAAACAGGAGGAGGAGAGATGAGATGAAGAAACCTGAAGAGTCAGAGGGAGTAGAGATACAGCATGCCCTCACATTTCCCCCGAAACTGGTTTTAATCGTGCCAACGCTAAACTACGTTACAATCAAAGTGTTAAACTCCTCATTTTGTCCTTTAAGCCTGAACTTAACAAAAATCAGAAACGTGGTCCAATGATGGACGAGGTTAGAGATCAACGCTCGGAGGAGGAGGGACATTTTGACAACCAGGAAGTAAAGAGGGCACTTAGTTCTTCCTAAAAGCTTTTAACTCAACCCCTTTTTAAATCCACTAAAACGTGTCAACTGAAGAGTTTCAGCATGAACACACATACAAAGAAAAAAAAGTCAAGTTTTATCTTTAAATAAACTCTTGCATGTGTGTGTTACAAATACAGGCGAGCGAACTTGGCAACAGATGATTCAGGAGTAAAAATCGTAAAAGAGAGAGAAGGAGCAGAAACCAGGACCTGAGACGGTCCTCAGAGGGCAGAGAGGACGTGCATACCGAGGAGGACAGGTGGGACAATGAAGGAAAGATGTGGGGAGGGGTTAGGGTTAGTGCTGGGACCAGTAAAGTAAGGAGAGGAAGAGGAGGGTGATGTTCATTCTCGCTGGGCTTCATCCTCCGCGTCCTGCAGCGCTTCTTTGTTCTGTTCTTCACCTGACAGAGAAAAAGACGACAGTCACTGAGGCAGGTGGGATCTCAAATTTAATTTAACACGAAAAATTAAAACATGTTCTCAGATTTAATCCATCTGGTGGGTGGAGCGGAACATTTTTCTTCCCAATTACCAAAATTTAAAATATAAAATCAATGAAACACTGTTTATTTTAGAGCAGAAAAACTGACTTCCTGGCTGCAAACAAAAAAAAATTGATAAAGTAGCGAGAAGGGAGAGTGTCTGCAGGCAGTAACAGTGGGAGGAGTTTGTGAAGGCTGTAACAGTGGGAGGAGTTTGTGAAGGCAGTAACAGTGGGAGGAGTTTGTGAAGGCAGTAACAGTGGGAGGAGTTTGTGAAGGCAGTAGCTAGTTAAGATTTTTGATAATTAACACTAAAAGCTAATTATTTTCAAAAACGGAAATGGTGAAATCAGGAAAACGTTTTTTCAAAAAACAGAAGGCGCTCATGTAGCAAAGAGAGGGTCGTCTTATTAAAGCAAAACTTAAAATTAATTTACAAGTGCAACTTAATTCAGTTCAAAACATCCCACAGTTTAATGTCTTCAGATCAGAATGTGGGAAGATTTATTAAAGAACAATTGTACAACTGGATGCTTGGACAGGACGGGAGTTTTTAAGGGACAAATAAGAAAAAGAGAATCTATGGAGACTAAAATAGAAACTGTAAAATCACTCATTAGCGCCTGGGCAAGCAGGGATATGAGAAAAAGCTGCAGGAGACAAACTCACGTGTCGTTTCTGATTTTAATAATAATTGTACTAATTTTATTGAATACAAAGTGCATTTAAACTAACTGTGATCAGTGGTCATCAGTGGAGTAGAAGTGTGTCCACAAGCTGCATGGTTCTTTTGTCTTCATACAAATAAAACCATTCTGACACATTAAGGGTGACGGTTAGAGCTTTGTTCTCGTACAGTTGTTCGGTCTTTCTGTGAGCCGATACGACCCACCTGGCTGACATTCACAGCGAGCCGAGAGGAGCTAAAGTTTGATGTTGGCAGAACGCAGGTCGTTGATTGGCCAGAGAGAGACGTCAATCATGAGAGCGTCTCCCTCAGAAGAATCAAACCGACAACTTCAGCATTCAAATATCAAACAAATGGACTCGATTTAAGACTGGCCTGTTTCTGTGTGTGCGACTTGCAGAACTGTATTCTTGGCTGCGCACAGTATAATGCTAATTTGTTTTTAGGTATTTGGCTCACTTTGAAAAATTTATTTAGCCTTAAAAATGCCTTGGAGACTAATTTTGTAGGTAGAAAAAGGACGAAATTATTTGATTATTTGAATTATTAAAAGGGTTAGGGTCAATTTGCCTCTAATAATATCAGCCAGTTTTTTCTACATTAGAACAAATATGGGTCTTTATTTGTTGCAAGTATGATATAAAAGGAAATCTCACTAGTTTTGATAGTCTGACTGTCTTGAAGAGCAGAAAATTTTTATTTTTACACTTTTAGAAAAGTTTGTCAATATTTCTTTTGATACTTCATGTGCTTCCAAAAACACAGAAATGTTGAGAATAAAACTTTATTCTGACGTACGACAACATTTTTTTTAAAATATGGTGAAATTAAAATTAGTGCTGATCAGATTCCAACAACCAAGGAGTGAAGATTGAATCTGTTTACTCGACACAATTTAATTAAATTTCCTTTAGATGAATTAAATCGGGCCTTGTTAAGCTGTAGGAACTTGTGGACACCCTGGAGACACAAAACTTCACACTAACAGGACAGAAAGTGAGAAAAGAAGCATTCCTGTTAGACAAATATAACTGTGGTTATTCAGAGGCTGGAGGAAGGAGGTGTTAGAGCGGTTAGACAGCAGACAGGAGGAACAACTTACGAAATACACTYGAATAACAGAGGGAAGGAGGAAGACTCCTTAAGAATCTGAAGAGGAATGAGGGGGAGATGAAGAGTTAGAGGAAGGATGACTCAGATATTTTTCAAACAGCTGTCCTCAGGAGAGGTTAAAGAAAAGACTTCAGTTTTAGGAGCTTTGTAGAGGATTTGAAGACTAAAAAGCTGCCGACATGTGGGAACAGATTCATCTCTTTGATACGAGTTAAAAATAAAGTTTCTCTCACCGTCTCCCTGAACGTCTGAGGTCCATAGCGTCAAGTTGTCACGTAGCAACTGCATGATAAGTGTTGAGTCCTTGTAGCTTTCCTCGCTCAGAGTATCCAGTTCTGCTATAGCGTTGTCGAAAGCTTCCTTTGCCAACCTGACACACGAGAACAAAAACAAGCTGAAGAAACGCAGCTGTTCGCTTCAAGCAGAASCAAACCTCCCCTCAAAGCCGTACCTGCAGGCGCGGTCCGGTGAGTTGAGGATTTCGTAATAGAAAACGGAGAAGTTGAGGGCCAGTCCCAGGCGGATGGGGTGGGTGGGAGGGAGTTCGATCATAGCGATGTCGCTCGCCGCTTTGTAAGCCACCAAACTGTTCTCGGCGGCCTCCTTCCTGTCGTTGCCCGTGGCGAACTCTGCCAGGTACCTGTGGTAATCTCCCTTCCTGAGCAGGAAACACAAAAACAGTCACGCGGATCAGTTTTCTCACAAACACTGACTTGTTTAAACAACTGAGCGAGCGAAGAGTCGGGTGTCCCATTAAAACTCACTCAACAACAACCTAATCAACCTAATCAAACGTCTTCTTCAGCTGAGTGTCAAACTGAACCCGTCCACACCCAGAACCACCAGCTTTTGTCGGGTCAAGGTCGTCTTCAAGCCATAAAATAAGGCTTGTTTATTTACTTACATTTTGTAGTAGAAAACCTTGGATTCTCCCGTGGTTGCAGCTAAGATGAGGTGTTTGTCCAGTACATCCAGGATGTCGTTGCAAATAGATTTCAGCTCTTTCTCCACCTGCGGACAGAAAAAAACCCCACTTCCTGTTACATGATGACATCATCACCAGATGGATGACAGCGTGTTCTGATGGAAGGACCAGCAGCTTTTACTCAAACACAGAGAGATGCTGATTCAACACTATTTTTTCCTTTATTTTTATAATCTGCTTCTGCTGCTTGATGTATTTTTAGCTGTTTTCACATCAAAACATTCAGGTCATTCAGAGGATGTGCTGTGACTTTAGTCTTTACTACATTTAGACTTTTCACCATATTTACAATTATTTACATTTATTTACGTTTTCATGTTATTTTTAGCTTTTAGCTGCTGGGCTCATTCCTTTTAGCTACTGGCCCCGCTCCTTTTAGCTACTGGCCCCGCTCCTTTTAGCTACTGGCCCCGCTCCTTTTAGCTACTGGCACCGCTCCTTTTAGCTACTGGCACCGCTCCTTTTAGCTACTGGCACCGCTCCTTTTAGCTACTGGCACCGCTCCTTTTAGCTACTGGTCCCGCTCCTTTTAGCAACTGGCCTGCTCCTTTTAGCTACTGGCCTGCTCCTTTTAGCTACTGGCCCCGCTCCTTTTAGCTACTGGACTGCTCCTTTTAGCTACAGGCCCCGCTCCTTTTAGCTACTGGCCTGCTCCTTTTAGCTAGTGTGCATTTCTTTTAGCTTTAACTCGTCAGTTTTCAGCTGTTTGATGTGTTTCTGTAAATAAATCAGCTCTGATTTGTTTATTTGTTGACAGAAGAGCAGAGGAGCAGTTCCTTCAGTTCATCCACAGTTTAATGACCGTTTAGCTGCAGACAGACAGACGCTCTGACTGCAGCAGGGAGTCATTTATAGATCGTAGAATCAGAATCAGCTCAGAGCTGGACCCAACGGTTCTGACTGTCTTAGTTTGAGGTGAACCTTCGCCCACATAATTTACGCGGTTCTTTAACCTGGACCTTTAGCTGTAACAGAGAGCAGTTTAAGAACCATTTGATAGAAAGAGTTAAAAATGGGACTGACCGCTTTCCTGTATTCACGGATCATCTTTAGTTTGTCCTCGCCACCTTTGTTCTCTTCTTTCTGTTCCAGGCTGCTGATGATCCTCCACGAGGCTCTTCTGGCTCCGATCACGTTCTTGTACGCTACGGAGAGCAGGTTCCTCTCCTCCACCGTCAGCTCCACGTCCATGCTGGCCACCTTCTTCATCGACTCCACCATTTCTAAAAACAAGAACAACCAACGAGTCAGAACCTGGACTTTTAAAAATGTACAAACTGTTTTAAACCGTGTCGGAGCTCCGTCTATGTTCGACACCACAGACGGCACGTTATCCCGCCGGAGCCAAAAAACCGGCATGACGGCGACACCCGATACATGACGGGAGGAGCGGCTTCTCCTCAAACCCACCCAGCAGAACCGCTGAGCTTTGTCACATCGATCACTAAGGCTCAGACACAGGTAGATGTGTACAAACGAGCAGCGACACTAAAGAGTTCACGTTGACCAACTTGTCGCTATGAGAAAACGTACTTTTGTTCAAGCTGTGAGAACAGTTCATCACACCAACTGTTCACACTTGTGTTTTCAACATTTGGGGCCATTTTTACATCAGTGTGAACAGAAATCAGTTTTTTCTGCAGACAGTTTCAACTAAAGCTGCACGATGTACCGTTTGACAATCATCTTAATGTAGCGTACTATCTAGGGATTAAATCATAAATCGTTGCACCAATCGATAACGTGTTTCTGCTTTTATTTTGAGGGGTTGCTTCATGACGGAAAAGCTAAAACTTTAAATTTTGTGGTGAAACTTCTGGGACAATAATGTGTCGGTGAATTCTCCAAACGAGCAGAGAACTGGTGGTTCTCAATGACATCATCCGGCCGCGCCACATTTGTGAGCTAGCATTTAGCTAGTAGCTAAGGCTGGTACCGCTGCACAAACAATACTACCCTCTGCTGTTAGCGCCTGCAAATCTGGCAATTTGGTCCCGTGATCCACAAGTCGTTACGTGGTTTGAGAAACATCTGCTGGTGGTAAAGAGGTAAAAATATGGTTAGCATGAATGCTAATATTAAAGGGCCATATACAGAGCTAGAAAAAAATAGTATTGTCAGTTTTCAAATATTGTGCAGCCCTAGTTTCAACCCAGCACTCCTTTGAACGATCAGCAGGTGAGACGAAAGCAAATCTTCAGCTGCATTTACACACACACACACACACACACAAAAAGAAAGTGACTGAGTGCATTCTGCTAAGACTTGCTGCCTCATGCAGTTTTCTGCTGACGTGTATGTGTGTGTGTGTTGCTTCTCACACACTTATTGTGGACGCATTTAAAAACATGCTTTTGATATTTAAGCATAAACAGTAATCAGCGGTCACAACTCCTAATTAGTTTTTATTTTCTTGACGATTATTGTTAGATGAAGGGGAAAAAAAGGCAGAACTTTACGTTAAACACGCTTTCCATAAAAGAATGCATGTCGCTCACCAACTTTAAAGTGAGATTTCATCTAAGAAGGGATTAAATGTTATCAGTTTTAGTCCAATTTAAATTGTATATTTGATTTCATGCAGTGTTTGAAGATCTTTACAAATCCGTCAGCTCTCAACGTATGTGTTGAGGAAAACATTCGGCTACTACCACCTTAAACTTTAAATGAATATCTGTGAATACTGAGTTGTAGACACCAATACGCTCTGGCGGCCATGTTGATTGGCTTGGGGGCGACTCTCAGCTACTACCAGCTCAGTATCTTTAACACAATGACTGAGTTGTAACCATTTATGTGTTGCTAATTGGCAGCTGTGGCGGCCATATTGAATTAAGTTCATACCAAATGTTAATTAGTCATAGATCCTGAAGGATTTATTAAAATACATCTAGTGGTTCCTGAGATATTTTACTAACACAGCAGTCAATTAAAAGAACTGAATCAAGTTTTGAGATGAAAACCACTGAATGATTAAAATAAAATCTTTTGCCAGCAAAATGTTTAGACTTTCAGTTTATGAATTAATGATTAAATTAGAATATAAATTTAACATGATTAAACCAGCTGATTACAAACTTTTTATCATCATCTAAACACAACTAAAGTTAAAGTTTAAATTCACAGCTAAAGCAGGGTTAACATTAAATCTGATAAGTTGATTGTAATAAAAAATCCTTATTTCATCCTGATTTAAAAGAGAAATAATTAAATATTCAAACTTGTTTTTCTTRACACCTGAAGGCGCCTCAACAATGACAGTTTTCTAATAATTTACAGAAACTTCTTGGATAAATAAAACCCTTGCTGTAAGATTAATTTTATATTAAAGTCATGATTCTCGCAGTTCCGTAGGGGTTGGCGTGTCAGAGCTAAAGAAAGGCTAGCAGCTAGTTTGCAACCTGGACAAGAAGCTAAAAGAGGCTAACAGCTCCAGCAGCGCGACGCTAACATAAATGATTGCCGGATAATGTGGCACACAGCCGGGGCAGGCGTTCAGCAATCCGACCGCGCCTTCTTGTGTGTTGTGGKCATTTAATTCAAGCTGAAGCTTTTGTTTTAATGAGCAGAGAAAACCTCCGCCATTTTGTCTCCTATCCCCCTCAATACTGATCCATGTGAACGCTTCACCTGCGTCTCCAAGCCCCCCGCGCAGAGAGACGAGCGGCCGAAGCACTCAATGACCGTATCGGCGTWATGTCCGCACGCGTCCAGCCTTACCGTCGTATCTCTCCGCCTGCTCGGCCAGCTTCGCCTGGTAAACTAAGTTCTCTCTTTCTTCCATGGCGCGCAGGTAGTGGGGCTCGTCTCAGGCGTCCCGGTGGAGAAAGGGAGGAAAAATGTATCGGCTGCTCCGAGAGTCCTGGTGGTGAATCAGCAACAGCACCGCCGCTCGGCTGAGTGGAAACCCGAAGAGAGAGCCGCCGGTAGCGCTGGCGTAAAGATGGCGGCGCCGCTCCATCCGGGGAATCCACGCAGCATCTCCGCCTACGCACTGCTGCACCAAAATCAATTAAACATCAATACAACCCAACATAGTTCATTTAAAACACACACATATATCTATTAAACATCATAATAACCCAACAAACTTCAATAAAAACACACAAAAATCAATTAAACATCAATACAACCCAACATAGTTCATTTAAAACACACACATATATCTATTAAACATCATAATAACCCAACAAACTTCAATAAAAACACACAAAAATCAATTAAACATCAATACAACCCAACATAGTTCATTTAAAACACACACATATATCTATTAAACATCATAATAACCCAACAAACTTCAATAAAAACACACAAAAATCAATTAAACATCAATACAACCCAACATAGTTCATTTAAAACACACACATATATCTATTAAACATCATAATAACCCAACAAACTTCAATAAAAACACACAAAAATCAATTAAACATCAATACAACCCAACATAGTTCATTTAAAACACACACATATATCTATTAAACATCATAATAACCCAACAAACTTCAATAAAAATACACAAAAATCAATTAAACAACATAATAACCCAACAAACTTCATTAAAAACACACAAAAAATCAATTAAACAACATAATAACCCAACAAACTTCATTAAAAA